GGAGCTGGCCGGGGGCAGGGCGGCAGTCCTCGGATTCGCGGCTTTTTCTTGCGAAAAATGGGAGTCTAAGGAGGGAACTGAGGTTCCCCTCAGGGCATGCCCGAGATCAAACGGAGACCTGGCAAGCGCGGAGGCTGTGAATGTCTCCCTGCAGAGCCGGGTGTAAAATGATTGCAAGCTTAATATTCGTCAGTGGGGTTGCAAATATTGAATGCGAATTTGGGATATCTAAACGGAAGATTACTGAAGCAGTCGAGCAATACAGTAGTTGGAGTTTGTTTGTGGCGTGCTTCGTAGTATAACCTAACTTTAATCCCTAATTTAAGATGCTGGGAATAGGTTCAGGGCAAGGAGAAACTTCGTGTATGTACACATGTATGTATATATATGTGTGTGTGTGTATATATAGATGTATAAAGTATAGATTGGTACTGATGATGCTTGGCCATGTCCTGCGTTCATCTTTCAGGTTGCATCTTTTCAAGGAGTGGCTGTTCGCAGCCTCAGCACATCCTCCCCTCATGAACACCCAGAACATGGAAGATTAGTTTATAAAGGAAATTTGGCAAAGGCAGTGTTAGGTATGTGACTTGAAGTGATTTGTTTTGTTTTGTTTTTTTTATTTAACAGTGGTTAATAACTTTAAAGTGCAACATTGTAAAAGAGAATGTTCTCCTTTCTACCTCTGCTAACACCTGGATCCTCTGTACAGCAAAAAAAAATGCGGTGGTGGTGCTTGGTTTCTGCTTCCACACATAGGTCTGCAGGGAGTTCTGTAGGTGCTGTGCATCTCTAACCGCTCAGCCTGCTTCTGTTTCTCTTGCAGCCTTTGGAGTGCATTATCCAACCCAGTAGCAGACAAAGACTAGCTGTAACCGCAATTTACATTCTGTATGCTTTCAAATGTTACTGAAATGTTTCTGAAGTAGACAGATACTATGATGAAATGCACTATCTGCAATGAGACTTTGTTGATCTTTCTTTGACCAGGTAATGTTACAAAGACCCAGTGAAAAGTAATCCATTGGATGTTTTCTGATACGCATTTTTGAAATGTGTCTTAAAGAAGGAGGAAGTATGCCTTAACATACTTAATTATCACAGCATCTTAGACTACTGGTTCTCATGGTGGCTTAAGGACTGTGGGTGATCCACAGCTGTACACAAGATGGCTCTGGAGTACTTGTTAATACTGAATAACCTAGGTTTTTCAAATTACGTGTGGTGGGGGACCAAGCAAGTTTCTTTGTACTGTACCCTGAACGTCAACATTAGTTGTTGATGAAGAGAGAAATTCCCAGTCATATCTGTGATGATTACCATTATGCGTGTCCATGACTGGAGTCAAGTTTCTTTTGAAATCAGTTTCCTATCTGTGAAGTGAAAACTTCATAGGTGTGCGTAATAGCTAGTAGCTGACTTCATCATAGAAATAGAGCCAGCTACCAGCTTTGATAAACCCAACATGAACATTTAAACAAATCAGAACAGTGGCAAGAAGACAGGCTTGAACTTTCAGTGGTTTCTTTGTGAGCTTAAAAAAAAAAAAAGTGGATTTTCAGTAACTTCAGCTGTTCAAGTAATGCCGTCAATATATAGTAGCAGAACATATGTAATTATAGAGATAATTTTACTCATAAGTATTAATCTTTGTTTTGTTTTGTGTAGGTGTGAGGTTTTTCTCTTACTCCACCAGCATATTCAACCTGTTCATGATGCCCTACATCATTCTCAAAACTGGTATTGGATTTGAAAGCCTGTTTATACAAGCTGCCTTTTATGGGTTGATTGGGTTTTTTACATTTGTAACACCGGTTACTTTGCATGTCCTTACAAAAGGCTATGTGATTCGACTCTATTATAAGGATGAAATGGACACGTATACAGCCATTACATACAATGCGATCTTGACAGAAAAAGCGACTGTTTTCCATCAGAAAGATGTAAAGATTCCAGACATCACCAAGATGTTTACAACATTTTACGCTAAAACGAAATCAATGCTTGTTAATCCGACGCTTTTCCCGAATCCTCAGGATTATAACCATCTCATGGGCTATGACAAGTCCTTTTATTTTAACTTAGAGGAGGAGAAGGAAGCTGATGAAAGGAAATAATTTGAAGATAATGAATGTCACTATCATTGTTCGTGGTGCAGTGCTATATATGTGAAAGAATGTAAAATTCTATTACACTTTCTTAAGTATCAGGTAGCTAGAGTTCCCCAAATGCATTTTGGAATGTATTAAAAATGCCCATTTTTCTAAACTTGTAAACAATGTGAGGGTTTCTTCGGAGTTAATGACACAAAACACAGTAAAAAAAAAAATATGCTTAGATCTGCCTTGTGTTTGCTTGTTCTTCGCTTGCTTTTTATTGTTAACTATCCAGGAGAACTGTAAAATGCATGAGCTGTGCAGCAATCTCACCATCTCCATTTCAAAAGGAACCATTCATAGAAAAAAAATCATTAATACTCATTACCTGTCAAGTACATAGTTAAGCTTTTAAGCCTTAAAGATTAATTGTACTTAATCCAAAAAGATCGGGCTTTTTCATCAACGCTGCTGGTGGTATAAAGGGAGTGGACATGGCTTTGACTTCCCTTTGTGAGAGCATCGGTAGCCAGGAGGAGTCTACAGAAAGCGGACAGGTATTGTTGCTAGTTGGTGTTACAGCCTCCTTCTAGAGGCCTGCAGGCCCCTGGAGAAGATAGGGGGAATGGCTGCGTCACGGTAATCTCTAGCCACTCACAGCTACTAAACGGTCTTTTCAGCTAGAGTCCTACTCTGAGCAACCCTGTCCCCAGCGGTGGAGAACAAGAAGCCTCTCTTTTGTTGGGCAGGGGGAAGCACCTTCGCATAAGATTTGCTCTGTGAATATCCCGTTGAAAATGTGCTGTATTTGAACTGACTTAAAGAAAATACTAGCAGCTAGTGGTTAAAATGGGCTCTGTCAGCATTTACGTAAGGTGGGGAAGCAAAAGGGAATCTCCTGTGGAGTACTGTTTAGATCTTGTGCCTTTGAAAAACATACCTCTTGATTTTTAGCACTGCAAAGAAAGCCACCTTCACCTCAAGTAAAAAGAGGATTAGATCTTTTTGTGTGACTAGACTGGTTAGTTCTGCTCTCTGAGTATGCGGAAATTGAATTTAAATGTTTTTAGCTCAACGAGAGGTTTGTCATGTAAACTGACAGATACTTGTTTTCAAATCATGAAGGGCCTAATCACCGGCAAGTGCTTGAGCCTCACCACCCAAGCCACAGAAGGCAAAGGCAGGGACTGGGAGAATGAAGAGCCGCCCACTGTGGGAGAACAGCAGGTTCGAGACCATCTAAGGC